TTCTTTCTTTCTCTTTCTCTTCCCTCCCTCCCTTTCCTCTTTCCTTTTCTTTCTTTCTCTTTCTCTCTTTCTTTCTCTCTTTCTTCCCTTTCCTCTTCTTTCTTTCTTTCTTTCTTTCTTTCTCTCTTTCTTTCTTTCTCTTTCTTTCTCTTTCTCTCCTTCCTTCCTTCCTTTCTTTCTCTCTATTTCTCTTTAGCCACCCACCCTCCCTTTCCTTTCCCATTCTATTCTCTCTTTCTTTTTTTTCTTTCTTTCTTTCTTTCTCTCTCTCTTTCCCCTCCCTCTCTTTCCTCTTCTCTATCTCTCTTTCTCTCTCTCTTCCCTCCCATTTCTCTTCTCTCTCTCTTTCTTTCTCTTTCTCTTCCCTCCCTCCCTTTCCTCTTTCCTTTTCTTTCTTTCTCTTTCTCTCTTTCTTTCTCTCTTTCTTCCCTTTCCTCTTCTTTCTTTCTTTCTTTCTTTCTCTCTTTCTTTCTTTCTCTTTCTTTCTCCTTCCTTCCTTCCTTCCTTCCTTTCTTTCTCTCTATTTCTCTTTAGCCACCCACCCTCCCTTTCCTTTCCCATTCTATTCTCTCTTTCTTTTTTTTCTTTCTTTCTTTCTTTCTCTCTCTTTCCTTCCTTCCTTCCTTCCTTCCTTTCTTTCTCTCTATTTCTCTTTAGCCACCCACCCTCCCTTTCCTCTTTCCCCTTCTCTTCTCTCTCTCTTTCTTTTTTTTTTCTTTCTTTCTCTCTCTCTCTCCTCCCTCTCTTTCCTCTTCTCTCTCTCTCTTTCTCTCTTCCCTCCCATTTCTCTTCTCTCTCTTTCTCTTTCCTCCCTTCCTTTCCTCTTTCCTTTTCTTTCTTTCTCTTTCTCTCTTTCTTTCTTTCTCTCTCTCTTCCCTTTCCTCTTCTTTCTTTCTTTCCTTCTTTCTCAGACAGACTCATTGGGGCTGGAGTTTTGTGCTTGCAGGGATGGGGGAGCCGCCTGGCCCGGGAAGCCCTTTCACGATGTTCTTCTTTGGGTCTCCTTCTCAGGCCTGTTGATGTGACGTGGTTAAGAGTCGACGATGAGATGCCCCAGCACGTTTTGGTGTCAGGGTCAAACCTCCACATTGACAGCCTAAACAAAAGCGATAACGGCACATACCGTTGTGAGGCTTCCAACCAAGTGGGGACGGCTTATTCTGATTACACGCTTTATGTATACGGTACGTGAGACCAGCACGCCTTTCTTCCAGATGCCTTGGTGCCCAATTGCTCTCGAGGTCTTTGGGGAGGGGGCGCGGTGTTGGCTGGGGTCAGCTGCCTTCCTCGGACCCAGGCCCAGCATGAGCATCCTGTAAAGAAAGCGTAACTGGAACGAAGCTGGTTAGCTCCTTCCTTCCCTCCTTCCTTCCTTCCCTCCTTCCTTCCCTCCTTCCTCCGCCTGACTCCGGGGGCCACCCTCTCCTTGCACCGAGTAGACCGGTCCTGCCCTGACGGTTCTGTTAGTGGAAGTAGCCGCCCCAAACCAAGAAGGGAAAATGCTGGGGCTGGAGGTGGGAAACGCTCCATCCCGTCTGGCCGGGCAAGTTCAGCCGCGTCTCCAAACATACTTCATTTACGTGGCGTAAACTGTGGAGGAAATCGGGAGGGGGGATTTTTGTTTTAATGTTCCAACCACTGCTCCTCGGGGCATCAGCCAAGAAGGCCACCGGGGCACAATCTAGGGGAAGGCAGCGCCATCCGGTCAATCTTGCGCAGCCAAAAGCTCTCTGGAAACTGCCCTACTGGCTGCTGTATGCCGTTAGACCAGGGGTGTCCAAACTTGGGAACTTTAAGACTTGTGGACTTCAACTCCCAGAATTCCCCAGCCTGGCTGTAGACTATTTCCTTTCCTTTGACCGGGCATCAACAGCAATAATCTCCAGCCTCTGGGCAGAGCCCTGGATCTGCTTGCAAATGGGTTCAACCCCATGGAGAGTCCGGTGGGTTAAAGGCCACGGCAGCCGGCCGCTCGGTGAGAGAGAGAGAGAGAGCAGATTGACTCCGAAGCCCCCAAACGAAAACAGCCCCCGCAGCTCCGAATGGCAGCGGCTTCAGTGAAATATCACGGTGGAAACTCAGGGAATTAGTTGACCAGCTCAGCAGAAAATGTGAAAGCTTAATGGAGTGGAGGCATTACAAGCATCCTTCCTCTTTCCCCCTTTGAACGCTTCCCTCCCCATGCCTGCCCTGAACCCCTGGGGTACTCCCTGCAAGGAGTCACCTTTGTAGGGGTTCCGACTGAAGTTTCCTCTCTGCTCCAAGCCAAGGAGCCAAGTGTTCCTCTTAAGGGACAGTAGAAAGCTTCCATTGGTCAACCAGTTGCAAACCCTTTTCTCTCCCAGACTAAATAGGGTCCGCCATTAATTATTGCCTTTAATCAGAATAAGTGTGTGTTTATAGAAAATGGGTGAGCAATGTGCAGTCCCCACTTTATTATTTATTTATTTATTTATTAAATATATTTAATATATTTATTATATATATTATTTAATATATTTAATGCAGGCCTGCTCTCCTGCATCTAAAACATGGTCTCCCTTGGCTAGAAGTAAAGCTTGAACTCCAAACCCAGATCTTCTCTTGCTTGCCTTAGCTTTTAGCAGAACCCTTCCTGGTTGAGGGTCAGCTGGGCAGACGCTGACATGCTTGGCATATCTGAGTGGTGATCAGCATCCCTACTGGAACGAAATGGGGGCTTTTTCCATGGGCTGAAAATTGAGTTCTCTATAGAGTCTCCAGCCAACTTGGCGGCTGCTGGCCAACTTTGTTCTTCCATGGAGAGGTCAGAGATCCTGGACCTCGAGACATCTCGGTACCTTTTCCCTTGTTTGATCACCTGCCTAGAATAAACATATTTCACGACCTTTTCAATAGGAAAATGGTGTTTCTCAAAACACCCTTTCCGGGAGAAGATCATAAAAGGATCCTCCTTGGCAGAGATCATATCTCGCGAGAGGATATGATTTCCTTGATAATCTCCTGTATCAAACCATGGATCACAACGGCCCCAAGCAACAGAAAGGCAGCAGAGGACCCTGTTTACCAAACAAGGATGATCCCTGCCAGTTGTAGACGAGAGGTAACAAGCTAGTGTTGTGTTTACCTCCTAAACTCGCACCCAGGGTGTAAATTTCCCTGGCCTCCTTCATCACAGGAGAGAGAGGGAATCTGGTCCTGGCACATACCCCAGTGAAATCAGCATCAGCGCTGCCGCTTCCAAACTCATCCTCAACCATAATCCACCCAGATGCTGTTTACATGGAAAGCAGCTGTGGCCTGGAGCAGCCACGTGGCTGTGGAGACCCCCATCTTGGCCACCTTCTAAAATGATTTGTGTGGGAGCTGGAGTTACGGGTGTAGAGGAAGTGGATGAAAATGGCGCCTCCTTATTGATCCAAGAGCCAACGCAAGAGGGCCACCTGTGTGGTTGTGTGTCCCAGAGGCTTTGGAGTCAGATCAAACAGGGCAGCCTCTCTGGAACTGGACTCCAGGAACGAAGCCATTGCCTTCCCAGATGGCCCAGTCCTTTCATTGGGTGCCCAAAAGGCCTCTCTCTCGCCTGGCACCTGCTGAAGGCATCTCGGGAGGGGTGGGCAGCCGAGCGTTGCTTCCTTAATATCCCCGCATCCCGGGCACATCGACGCCCTTCTCCTGGAGAAGTTGTGCCAAGCACACAATAAAGGTGAAACACATCATTGCAAGTTTGGATTTATTAATTAGGAAATGCAAGAGCTCTCTGGAAGATAAAAGCGGAGTAGATGTGTCAGTGATGAGAAGTTTGACATGCTTAAGATAAAACTTGAAATCAAAAGCCTCTGAACCGTTTCAAGCTCCATTACTGACGATTCCTTCCCAAGTTCAAAGTTGCGTGTTGTGCTTAACACATTCGGTTTGATCATTTGGGCAGCGATACGTGGCGCTTCCTCTCCTCACCTCCCCCTCCCCCCAAAGTGCCTCTCCTCCCCCTCCTCCCTTCTGTCCTCCCGTCCAGAGGAACTCGGTGGGGAGTCCAGAGGCCACCGGTTCTTTGCCAGCCTTGGGTGCCCTTAGGAGGGATTGTGGCTGGCATTTGCAGGCCCACCACCTTCGAGACCAAAGGGCCTTTTCTTCCCTTTCATGGCCAGGAAGGGAAAGGGGCGAATCCCCCTTTATTTCCATCCACCGGAGGGTGAAATGTACTAACCAGAAGAAAAATGCAGGGATCCTGGGCTGGGTATGAATATTTATAAGTCCCAAAGACATTGACTTTACGTTGAAAGAAATCTCACTAAAATCTTCCATGCATCCAACTTGATATTTAGTCGCGACATTCTCGTTCCCTTCTCTATTTATTACCGGCTTAGAAGTACTTTTATATCCTGCTGGGATGGGTTGACGGAGGGCGGAAAGAATGGAGTTAACTGCTCCGGAGAAAGCAGAGAGGGAGACGGAGGGGCAGGCGGAGGAGGGGGTGGGGATATTTGGTCTGCTAAACACAGCGGGCGAATGGGGGGGTGGGCTTTCTCTGCCCCTCTTTTTCAGACGTCAGAGCACCAACCGAAGAGGCCCAAAACAAGCAAGGCTTTCATGGGGGGTTCTAAATGGTGCAAACAGCCCCCCCTTTCCTGTGGGGGAGCGTGCAGCCTTGGGGGGGTGTTTCTCTGGTGGGTTCTGGGGGGGATGGCATTCCATGCGGTCTTGCATCTGTAACTAATTTTTGTGTTCCATCTCCTCTCCATCTCCCCCATCCCCACCCCATCTCCCTATCCCGGGTGGGAGGGGCGGGGAGGGGGGAAGGGCTGTTGGATCCCACCCACCCCAAGAGCTGCATCGTCTGTCACCCTCTGGCCACCCTCCCCACCCCACCCCCACCCCACCCCCAGTGACGGGAAGGACGGAGCCAAGCTGCTAACCGCCATCCATCCGTTCGGCTTCTTTGTTGATTTGTTGACCATTTTTTTTTGCGTTCTGCTCATTTCATTTTAATTTGCTTCTTTTTTTTCTGTTTTCTTTTTCTTTGTTTATGTGTTTTTTATATCTAGATCCTCCCACAACTCTCCCTCCTCCCACCACCACACTTTCCACCATCATCACCATCACCACCAACATCGCCGCAGGTACAGTACCGGGTCGAAGCCTAGAGGTGTGGCTGTGCTTTCCCTGACCGGGGGGCTGGGGGGGGAGTGTGTGGAGGGAGGGGGGGAACGTGAAAGAGAGAGGAAAAGGCTTCTTTCCAATTCCGGTTATTCCTGAGTTATTTTGGTGTTGTTTGTTTCTCTCCCCAACCCCCCCCCTCGCCTGGGTCATGTGACCCGAAAGGGTTTGGGATGTTGGCCTGGCAAGGGGCTCTTTAACGCCTGAGTCCCCCTCCCCGACAGAGGCAAACGTGGCTGGAAATGTTAGGGCACTTATAGGTGGCTCAACCTGGGTCCTGCTTTTCTTTCTTCAAAATACAGAGAACGGCCTCTCCTTTCCAGCTCCACTCCGCAGGCTTCACCCTCCCTAAAGACAATTAATTTGGTTTTTGGTTCCCGCGCAACTACCTCTCAGCCTCTGCAGCTGCCAGCCCCGTGGCACACAGAGACACACACACCCAGGTGGCTGCTGGGTCACCCTGGCACTCAGCACCTTGAAGCCCCACCTTGAACCCTTCCCGGGCATCATTCTGGGCCCCCTTTGGCCGCTGTCTACCTGCCTTTCCCAGGGCACCTGTCTGCGCTCCAGCTGATCACCTGAGAGTAGCCAGATCCCCCCTCCCTCGTCCCCATCCCCCCCCCAGGCTCTTCTGTTGCAGGGGTCTCTCTTCTTCTCCCCTCCCTCTTGTGGGCCGAGTCCAGCAGGGGAGGCGAGATGGTGCTCTTCCCACGTGGCCTCCACCTTCCTCCACCCAGCAGTCTCTGGCCTTCTGTGCGTCTGTGACAATGGCTCTCATCCCTCTCCTGCAACATCCATGCTCTGCTTTTTTCCTCTGCGAACGCTCAGAAATGTTGGCTCTACTGGAATAACGAAACCTTTCCTCTCCCTGTGCCTTAACCATGGTTTCTTTTCCTCGTGTTGACCGTCACGTGTTTTGCCTCGTTACACTTTTCTCCTTCCAGGCTCTTAGGGAAGCCGGTGCCTCGGGGTTCTCCTCTGTGTGGCCTGTTTATCTCCACAGTTGCCTAGTCCTAGGGTCTCACACCTTCTTCTGTGGGTTGCTCACTTCCAGGTGACCTTCACTCCCTCCAAGGAGCAGATCGAGGGCAAGACGAAGGGGGAGGGGGGAGCATCAGGTCCGCATTCCTCTCGCCATGCTCACCTCTGACCATGTCAAAGAGTTTCTTTCGTTGGAATTAATGCCGTGGGCCTTTGGGTGTCTTGAGGGGGGGCTAATTGGATGACTGGGAGGACTTGTGAGTGTGGGAAGTCCTGCAGCTTCAAGGGGCTCTTCCTGAAAGCGACCCAAGGAAACGGCCTCAGGTTGGCTCACGGTGTCCCACCATATGCTGGTCACTCTCTTTCCCAGATGGCTACCTGGCCCATTGTTCTTCATTCAGCTCCCTGAGTGGCAGAAGGAGACGGGTCCTTTCCCCTCCCCGCTGACCATCTGTGAGGCTCCCAGGCGTTTTGACTGACTCCTGAAAGCAAAATCTTCAGAATGCTTCGGAAAATAATGAGCGTGGGTTGGAGTTGGCTAGGAAATCAGGGGTGCTGATCTCAAAGTCGGAGGCTTTGGAAAGGGGTGATAGGATTAGGAATAGTTGGACCTGGTGGAGAAGGATTCAGCTGCTCAGCACGAGAAGAAGTCCAGCCTCAGCAGAGCTTTGACTCGAGACCAGCTCTGGCCTCTTGGGCCAGGAGGGGTTAGGGAGAAGATGGATTGGGCAGCCCCTGCCTCTTTTTCATTGAGCCTACTATTGCCAGACTCTCTACCTCCCTGAAGCCTTTGGTGTCCCCCAGGCACAGAGCAGAGTCCTGACCTGGCTGTCCCAGGATCTGAGGAGCCCTCCCAGTTGTGGTGTTCTCAACCCCAGCCTGTTTCCTGAAGGACTCATTTGGGGGATTCAAGATCTATTGTAGAAGGTGCCAGGGTTCCAAATAGCATCTGAAATTAAATCAGAGTCCAAGGCAAAGGATTCCTCAAAGTTCCAATTTATTAAAGAGAGCCAT